ACTCATAGCGACCCCACAGGACAGGTAGAACTGCCCCATAGGGTTTCCAGGGAGCAGCGGGTGGATTCGAACTGCCATCTTTTTGGTTAGCAGCCAAGCTGTTAACCATTGCACCACCGTGCCATTGTCCCCGCTATTTTCTCTTGTCTTACCCTCTGTCGTCTTCATTCTCAGTATCTGCCTGCCCCCAGCAAGTATTTGTATATGAGACACTGGTTCGTACAATATACTGGTTTCCCTATAAAATATGATCTGACATAATTGCTGCCTAGCGTTGACCTGATTAATTAGAAAAGACTTGATCAAAGAAAATCACTAGTTAATGAAGTGAAACTAAAATTATATAATTTTATTATACTTCATGTTGGTTAAACTTGTTAGTCCTTGATGAAGTAAACAGGTCTCCAGTGTTTTATTTGCAGTAAGGTGCAGGAAGATACTGGTATTAACAACTTTAGAGCTTCTGTCCTGAGGCTGGAAACCCTGGTGATGTTATCGTTAAGAGCTACAGCTGCTAACCCAAAGGTCGGCAGTTCGAATCCACCAGGAGCTCCTTGGAAACCCTGTGGGGCAGTTCTTGTTTGTCCTGTAGGGTCACTATGAGTCGGAATTGACTCAACAGCAACAGGTTTGGTTTTTTGGTTTTGGTATCCTGAGGTTACTAAATAGTGTTCCCTTCCAAGCTTAGCTTCATGGTCTTGTCAAAGTGTAGTATTTTCTAGGCAAGTGTTCACGTTTACTTGTAACCAGTTGGCTTGTGTGGTGTAGCAAAACAAAGCCCTTTTGCATAATTTCTGTAAACGTAACATATAAAAATGCGGATGGGAAGTAAAAAATATTTCACTCCTTCAGTTCATATTTCTTTAAGATAAATACAAATGGGGTTTCCAATTACTTACTATTATGAAACAATTTTTCCTTACTGACATAAGAATTGTCATTCATGATTTTAGCAGAAGCAACACTTAAGACTTTTCTGTGACTGCAGTAGTATACTAAATAACCTCTTTTTTTGTCTAGTCGCCCAAAATGTGTGGACGACGTTGCTTTCCAGGAAGAGGTGGTTGCAGTGCTGAAAAAGTCTTTAGAAGGAGC